GTTGGTTGTGGCGGTTTTGTTCAGCAAGTCCCTTCGGGAGTCCAGTCATCCTAGTGCCCATAGAACGCCTTCTTCCGTCTACGCCAGTGGGGACTCTCTTGTTTGGCCGAGTGTTTGCAGATTCCTTTTCATCCGTGCGGGTAGCAAGCCCTGGCGGACTACCCTCCTCCTTTTGCAGCCGGGCTTGGGACCGTCCTTGGCGGAGTTTTTTAATTATTAGCAATATATTGTCTAAATCAATCAATATGATATTTAGTAATGCTGTTGTTGGTGAAAGTTCATTGGATCGACTTTCTTGTGCACTTGGTGGTAAAACAATGCTTAATTATATATTAACAACTGTTCAAACAATGCTTCAAAATCGTACGTAATTATTCTTATTAAATACTTAAAAAATTCTCTTAATTTCTTATAATAGCTGATTGGCGTTATCGTCATGCTGGTTTAATGGCAATATCAGCAACAGGTGAAGGTTGTCATAAAGAAATGTCCGTATTATTGGATGATCTTGTCAATGGTATTTTGGTTTTTCTCAAAGATTCTGTAATATTCTTATTCCTATTATATATATTTCTTTATTTCAATATATATTTTCTTTAGCATCCACGTGTTCGATATGCAGCTTGTAATGCAATAGGACAAATGTCAACAGATTTTCAAGGAACATTTCAAAAAAAATTTCATTCAAAAGTTATTCCTGGTCTTCTATCGATACTTGATGATCATGATAATCCACGAACACAAGCTCATGGTGGTGCTGCTTTAGTTAATTTTGCTGAAGATTGTCCACCACGTTTACTTGTTGAACATTTACCACAAATTATTGAAAAATTAGAACAAGTTTTAAATCGAAAATATCAAGAAGTAAACTTTTTTCTTTTTTTGTAAAATTATAATAATTAATTTTCAAATTATTTAGCTTGTTCAACATAATCGTAAATTAGTTCTTGAACAAATTGTAACAACACTTGCAGCTATTGCTGATACTGTTGGACAAGATTTTTCACCTTATTATGATCGGTTTGTTCAGACGCGAAGAAATAAAAAATAAATTGAATTCTTTTTCTTTTTTAAAGATTTATGCCACAATTAAAATATTTATTTAAAAATGCAATTACACCTGATTATCGAATGTTACGTGGTAAAACAATGGAATGTATTAGTTTAATTGGTTTAGCTGTTGGCAAAGAAAAAGTTCGTATTGATTTTTATTCTAATAACAAAAAAATTTTTTTCTTCTATTTCAGTTCATTAATGATTGTTATGAAATAATGCAAGAATTAGTTAAAACTCAAGTTGATTTTGAAAATTTAGGAAATGATGATCCACAAATATCATATTTAATTGGAGCATGGACACGTATATGTAAAATATTAGGCAAAGATTTTGAACAATATTTACCTATTGTTATGGGACCTGTTCTTAAAGCAGCTGCATTTAAACCTGAAGTAACTGTACTTGCTGATGACGAAGTTGATGTTGAAGAAGATGATAATTGGGAAGTACTTAATGTTGGTGATCAAGCTTTTGGCATTAAAACAACTGGTCTTGAAGAAAAAGCTAGTGCTTGTTCAATGCTTGTTTGTTATGCGAAAGAATTGAAAGAAGGTTTTGTTAATTATGTTGAAGATGCAACTAAATTAATGGTTCCACTTCTTCGATTTTATTTTCATGAAGGTAATTATTATTGAAATTTAAATATTGACTAAATAATAATAATAATATGTATTTTATATTTAGGTGTTCGTGCTGCAGCTGCTGAATCATTACCACATTTACTTGATTGTGCTAAATTACGTGGTGATGATTATGTTCGTCAAATGTGGCAATATATGAATAAAGAATTATTTAAAGCAATAGAAATTGAACCTGATCATGAAGTACTTGGTGAATTATTTTCATCAGTGGGAAAAGTAAAAAAGAAAATTTCCTTTTTTAGAAATTTAATCTTTTATTTTTAGTGTATTGAAACATTAGGTGTAACAAGTTTAACAGCTGATGAATTAAAAGAATTAACAACAATTCTTGATAGTCATCTTAAGAAACATTTTGAACGTTCAACTGAACGTGCAGAAAAACGAAATGATGAAGATTATGATGAAGAAATTGAAGAAGAAATGCTTGAAGAAGATGATTTTGATGCATATATATTAAATCGTCTATCGGACATAATTCATTCACTTTTAGTTACATATACAGATTCATATTTAACCTATTTTGATACATTAGTACCACATTTTCATGAACTTATACAACCAGCACGTTCAATATCTGATCGTCAATGGGCATTATGTGTATTCGATGATGTTATACAATTTACTGGTGCACATTCACATCGTTATGCACAATTTTTTCTTCCAAGAATGGCTGAAAGTCTTACTGATTCATCACCTGAAGTAAAGAAAATTATATTTTTTTTAAATTATTTATAAAAAAACAAATCTAGATTCGTCAAGCTGCTGCCTATGGATTTGGTGTAATGGGAATGAGTGGTGGTCCTGTTTATGCACGTGCATGTGCAGAAGCATTACCTCATTTATTTGCAATGATTAGTACAGCAGATAGTCGTTCAGTAGAAAATAATACAGCAACTGAAAATGCTATTAGTGCAGTTACGAAAATATTTAAACATAATAATTCATGTGTAGATAATCTTGATAAAGTAAATATATAGAATTAAGAATAAAATAGGAAATATTATCTTTTCTTTCTATAGCTTCATCAAGTTTGGTTTACTTGGCTTCCGATTTATGAAGATACAGAAGAAGCACCATATGTTTATGGTTATTTATGTGATTTGATTGAATCGTATGTTTAAATAAAAACAAAGGAAACTGTTGTTAAATTTTTTTTTATTATTATTTTTAAGAAATAATCCAGTTATTATTGGATCCGATAATTCAAATATACCAAATGTAATCAAATTATTTGCTGATGCATTTGTTAAATCATCGATTGAAGTTAATTCAATTGTTGGTCAACGTATGATTCTTATTTTACGACATGTTCAAGTTAGTTTTTGAATTAATATTATTGAAATTATTATATTTTTTTTCTATTTTTAGACAATTCCATCAATATTTCAAACATGTATGACTACATTAACGAATGAAGAACGTCAATCATTAGCAAATGCGTTAAATTCAGCGCCAATATCTTCATAATATCATCCAATTGAATCTATAAACTATACAATGAATCGTCATCATATTAGTGTTTTAAACTGAGAAACGTTTTTGTCGATACATTTGTTTTCACTTCTATTTTATTATGAACTCTTTATTTTGTTTCCCTATATTTGTTATCCGGTTGAACACAAAAGAAAAAAAACTAAGAAAACTTCAAAACGAAATTGATTTCATTCTTTATTTTT